TCATGTCAAAATGGTTCACATCATAAATAACTCATGTCAAAATGGTTCACATCATAAATAACTCATGCCAAAATGGTTCACATCATACACAACTCATGTCAAAATGGCTCATATCATAAATAACTCATGTCAAAATGACTCATATCATAAATAACTCATGTCAAAATGGTTCATATCACAAATAACTCATGTCAAAATGGTTCATATCATAAATAACTCATGTCAAAATGGTTCATATCATACATACCTCATGTCAAAATGGTTCATATACATAACTAATGTCAAAATGGTTCACATCATACATAACTCATGTCAAAATGGTTCACATCATACATAACTCATGTCAAAATGGTTCACAGCATACATAACTCATGTCAAAATGGTTCATATACATAACTCATGTCAAAAGGGCTCATATCATAAATAACTCATGTCAAAATGACTCATATCATAAATAACTCATGTCAAAATGACTCATATCATAAATAACTCATGTCAAAATGGTTCACATCATAAATAACTCATGTCAAAATGGTTCATATCATAAATAACTCATGTCAAAATGGTTCATATCATAAATAACTCATGTCAAAATGGTTCATATCATAAATAACTCATGTCAAAAAGGTTCATATCATAAATAACTCATGTCAAAATGGTTCATATACATAACTCATGTCAAAATGGTTCATATCATACATAACTCATGTCAAAATGGTTCACATCATAAATAACTCATGTCAAATGGTTCATATCATACATAACTCATGTCAAAATGGTTCACATCATACATAACTCATGTCAAAATGGTTCATATACATAACTCATGTCAAAATGGTTCATATCATACATAACTCATGTCAAAATGGTTCACATCATAAATAACTCATGTCAAATGGTTCATATCATACATAACTCATGTCAAAATGGTTCATATCATAAATAACTCATGTCAAAATGGCTCATATCATAAATAACTCATGTCAAAATGACTCATATCTTAAATAACACATGTCAAAATGGCTCATATACATAAATAACTCATGTCAAAATGGTTCATATACATAACTCATGTCAAAATGGTTCATATCATAAATAACTCATGTCAAAATGGTTCATATACATAACTCATGTCAAAATGGTTCATATCATACATAACTCATGTCAAAATGGTTCACATCATAAATAACTCATGTCAAATGGTTCATATCATACATAACTCATGTCAAAATGGCTCATATACATAAATAATTCATGTCAAAATGACTTATGTCATAAATAACTCATGTCAAAATGGTTTATATCACACATAACTCACGTCAAAATGACTCATATCATAAATAACTCATGTCAAAATGGCTCATATCATACATAACTCATGTCAAAATGGCTCACATCATACATAACTCATGTCAAAATAGCTTACATCTTACATAACTCACGTCAAAATCTTTCATATCATAAATTACTTGTGTCAAAATGGCTCATATAACAAGTCATTGAAAATGACATAGTCCCCGTTCTCTTTGTGCTCGTCATATTAAAGCCGAGAGGTTGTTGTGAGCGTGTCCTTGAAACTTGAGTTCCAAGTGGCGTATACAACAGATTGTTTATTTACATCAAAACACGTGTTTCGTGTCGTAGTAATATGGCCAAAATAAAAACAGCCGTTAATCGGCCATCTTTGATCTGATTATGAAACACACTGATATGTATGATGTATGTGCCAAATACGAATGAAAATGATACATAAATTGTAGAAATATAGTAGTAAGGCCAAAAAGTCAGATGGCTGTCAATCGGCCATCCTTGACCAGATTTTGAAACAAATTGTCATGGACATGCATCCTAACATGTATAAAGTACATGTATGTCTCAAATTTGAATGAAAACTGACAGAGCACGTCCAAGATACCACATAAAAAAACAAAAACAAGATGCTTGCCAGTCGACCATCTTTGATCCAATTGCGAAATAAATCGTCATGGACATGTATCCTAACATGTATAATCCATGTACCAAGTTTGAATGACAACTGACAAAGCATGTCCATTTTCAAAAAACAAGATGGCTGC